CCACCTTCCTACGGGGCAACAAAACTATTTCCGAGACGACGCCTTTGCGGAAAGAAATCCCCTTTCCCCAGTTCAATGTTGCTTCCTACAAACGCCCAGGGAACAGGCTTTCTTTTGAATACGCAACAACATTGCTTTCAGGGGAAGGGGGAGAGGGAAGAACCGGTACAGCTATGATGTTTAGAAAAATGTTCCCCAAGTATACAATTTTCTCAACAGTTTTGTCCAAGATTGTAGAGCGAGAGATAAAAACCAAAGGAGACCAATTTCGTTGGAAGAAAAGCAAAAATTTTATAGCGGCGGTGAGAAAAAGGGGAAATGCTAGCTGCCACCAAGGGGGAAATGAGCGGCAACGAAAAAACGTGAACAGGAACACATACAACACCTCCTCCATAAAACGCGTAACTAGGAAGTTTCTGGAAGTTTCACGTTGTAGTCGTGCAAAACAACGGCAAAGAAGTGTACCAAAAAAGCGTGCAAATTTGCTTTTGCAAATTAGAAAAAAAGTGTGCTACACGTGCAAAGTTTTTTTTTTTTTTGCTAATTAGACCTACTGATTTTTTTGGCTGTTTTCGTTGCTTTCGCCCCTTGGCGTTACACGATTTTACATTTTGTTTNGAGAGATAAAAACCAAAGGAGACCAATTTCGTTGGAAGAAAAGCAAAAATTTTATAGCGGCGGTGAGAAAAAGGGGAAATGCTAGCTGCCACCAAGGGGGAAATGAGCGGCAACGAAAAAACGTGAACAGGAACACATACAACACCTCCTCCATAAAACGCGTAACTAGGAAGTTTCTGGAAGTTTCACGTTGTAGTCGTGCAAAACAACGGCAAAGAAGTGTACCAAAAAAGCGTGCAAATTTGCTTTTGCAAATTAGAAAAAAAGTGTGCTACACGTGCAAAGTTTTTTTTTTTTTGCTAATTAGACCTACTGATTTTTTTGGCTGTTTTCGTTGCTTTCGCCCCTTGGCGTTACACGATTTTACATTTTGTTTAGTAAACTATAGATATTAATTAACGATAGCTTCGTTTTTAGCCCTGGCTAAATCTATATATTAATCCTAAATATGAATCATGGTTGTCTTGCTCTGCTTTGGTTAGCAGTGTCTTTACCGTTTGAACTGATTTTTCAACAAGCCCATCTGCTTGTGGGTAGAGTGGACTGGTGGTAGTGTGTTTGAATTCCCACTGTTTCGTGAATGACTCAAATTCCTTGGATGAATACTGAAGATCATTGTCACTGATTACCTCAGATGATATTCCATGACGCGCAAAAGCAGAGTTGATGTGGGTGATGACAGTGTTACTTTTGGTGTCTGGCAGTTTGGCTACTTCAAAATATCGCGAGTGGTAATCTACAACAATGAGGTATTCTGATTTATCCCAAGTGAACAGGTCTGTTACTACCTTTTCCAAAGGCTTGATTGGTAATTGCGAGGGGATTATTGGCTCCTTTGCATTTAGCTTGTGGTTTTGTTGGCATATACTGCATCTTGCAATCTTTTCCTGAATTTCGGAACCCCTTCCCAGGCCAGTATAACACATCTCATGCTCATCTCTTGGATTTCTCTATGCCCATGTGGCCTTGATGAATTCTCTCTAACATTTCCTTCCGCATAGAAATAGGGATAAGAATTCTTTCACCCCTTAGAATGATACCGTTCAGTTCAGACAGTTCATCTCTCACGTCCCAATACATGCGGGTACTGTTACTGACACAGGCCTTTGTTTCTGGCCATCCACGTTTGATGATTTCAATGAGGTCTTTCAACGACTCGTCTTTGGCTGTTTCCTCTCGTATTTCTTCAAGTTTAGGTTTTGAGACTGGCAAGTTTGACTGTATCAGGTGAATTTGTAGAGCAATTTCCTCTTCCACGTTGTTGATATCTGTTGTCTCAGGAAGTGGTGCGCGGGACAGCATGTCTGGGAGTACTAACTCCCTTCCGGGCTTATATTCTAGCGTGTAGTCGCACTTTTGCAGAATTCTTTGTAGTCTGGGTGGTGCTGTCGCTAATGGTTTCTTCACAATTATTTCAAGGGGTTTGTGATCTGATTCTACGTCCACTTTCTTTCCATACGTGTATTGGTTGAATCGCTCCAGGCTGAACTAAACTGCCAAAATTTCCTTTTCTATCTGAGCATATCTTGATTCGGCCTCAGTGAAAGATCTTGATGCGTAGTAAGCCACGGAACAATTGTCTTGCTGCAAGACTACGCCGAGGCCTGTAGGTGACGCATTGCAACTGATGGTTACTGATGGTTTCTGGACATCAAAAAATTTCAGAACTGGACCTCCATTCTCAGTTAAGACACTTTTAATTTCTTGAAAGGCTTTGTCTTGTTCGGACCGTCTATTAAAAGGAAAATAGAAGCGATCACCTAGCAACGCGAGAAACGGCTTCCTATATCTTATTTAGCGCTAAAACACAGATATATATATATATATATATATAAACACAAAGCGGGGTTGAAAAGTCTTTATTTCAGTTTAGTTTATGTCTTCTTATTTAGCCCTAAAACTCGGATATATCAACAAATCATACTCAAAGAGGAGCTGAAAACCCTTTATTTCAAATTTGTCTGACTATTACAGAACCGTTTTCTCCCATCTATCTCGAGGAAATGAAAGTCTTGTCATTTTCACGCACGGTTAATCAGTTAATTATGCGAGTTCACAAGCCCAAAGTTGAATACAAATTAGCTCTTCAAGTTTGTCTGACTATTACAGAACCGTTTTCTCCCATCTATCTCGAGGAAATGAAAGTCTTGTCATTTTCACGCACGGTTAATCAGTTAATTATGCGAGTTCACAAGCCCAAAGTTGAATACAAATTAGCTCTACAGGAAAAACCTCAAGGGAGTACCTTGACGTATTATTATAAAACAAATAACTTAACATGGATCAATTAAAACACGCGACTCATAATTGCTAGCAAATAAAATCAGACACGAGATACCGTTTAAAACAAAAAGAGTCAAATACACAGTGATTTGAAAGAAATCTATTAAAATAGTCAAAGAAAGCAAGCCATCATTTTTTTTACATTGCGCACAATGTTTTACTTACCCCTCTCCCTTTTCAATTTTATTTGTCTCCTCAATTTTTTTTATTCCCTTCTCCGAGTTTAGAGCTAAATAAGAAGACATAAACTAAACTGAAATAAAGACATTACAACTCCACTATGTGTTTATATATATCTGAGTTTTAGCACTAAATAAGATATAGGAAGCCGTTTGTCGCGTTGCTAGGTGATCGCTCCTATTTTCCTTTTAATAGACGGTCCGAAAACCGAGCTCAAATTTCTTCACGGGCAAGTCAAGGCAAGTCTATTGTTCCTATTGAAGTAGAGAGACGCTCATTAGTAAAGCTATACCGAATTAGTATGCAGGAAGACACTCGTTAGTATGGAGGAATGCATTTTTTTCCTAGGTTATAACAATGGGTGACGTCATGGACTCGACCCTTATGCATATTAATAAAGGGAAGACAGGGGAAGACAGAGGAAGACACCAAGGGGGGTTAATTTCCAACATAGTATACTACTATGGCGCGAACGTTTTCATCATCGGGCTTGATCCCCTCTTGTGTAAGTTTGTGACCAATGTAGGTCACCTCCTTGACTTTGAAAACACATTTTCCCTTGTTTAGTGTCAAGTTAATCTTCTTACATCGATCCAGAACCGAGTTTAGACGAGCATCATGTTTCATTTCAGTGTCAGCGTGAACAATTTTGTCATCAATGTCAGTTTCAACACCTTCCAGGTCACCAAAGTATTGACACATTGGTTTCTGAAAAACTTGTTGAGCAGATTTAATGCCAAATGGGGCAACTTGATAGCAAAACCTTCCGAATGGCGTATTGAAGGTGGTAAGAAGTTGACTCTCTTCATCTAGTGGTATCTGCCAATAGCCTCGATTTGCATCAAACTTGGTAAACCATTTTGCATTTGCCATACGGGTCGTGATATCTTCAATGGTGGGTAGCTGAAAATGTTCTCTTTTTATGGCTTTGTTCAGGTGTCTTGGATCCAAACAAATGCGCAAACTACCAACAGGCTTTTCAACAATGGCCATTGAATTAACCCAGTTAGTGGGTTCTTCGACTTTGCGTATCACTCGTCGCTTCTCCATATTATTCAACTCTGCTTTCACTCTCTCTCGAAGGGCGGCTGGTATTGTTCTAGGAGGATTTATAACTGGTGAAACAGTTGGATCAATTTCAATGACGTAAGGTTTCTCCAAACGTCCCAGACCAGTAAAGACTTGTGCATATCTCTGGAAAACCCCTTCTTTCAGTTCTTCAGATGTCTTTGTAGTTTGGCTGCTATTATCAGTGGTTTCTTCCCTCTCTGTTTTTGCTGTCAACTTTAATTAGGCCCAAGTTTTGTGAGGAACGAAGTCCCAGTAATCCTGGCTGATTTGTTTCCACTACATGGAATGTTAGCTCTTGTTAAACATCTGACTTGGATTTCACAGGCAATTTTATGATTCCTAGTAACTTGAGTTTATCTTCTGAGTAGCTAACCAGTTTTTGTTTGCACAGATCCATTTGGGGGTTGCCCCCTTCAATCTTCTTGAGTTCCGTACGTGGCATTATGTTCACTTGCGAACCAGTGTCCACTTTTAGTCGCATGAGTCACGTAGCACTCGTCATTCTGAATCTGAACTTTTGTAGTGACTGCTCCTACAAACAGTGGAGGCTCACAGTCACTCTCCTCTTCTTCCTTTTCTGCCCTTATCCCATGGACTTTCTTTCGTGACCAGCACATGCACTGGAAGTGATGCTGTTTCTTGCAGTTGTGACATGTTTTGCCATATGCTGGGCATTCTCTTACACCATGTCTTGTGCCACAGTTTCTGCAATTAAATATCTTGCTTGAGCTGGGACTATCTTCGTTGGCTGAGGGCGTCTTTCTGAATGGTGTTTTTTTTTTTTTGCCACTCCAATTCCATGTACGGCTGGGTCGTTTGCCATGTCTCTTAGTTGTATCTCTGTTGCATCTGCAGATCGAACCACATCTATAGCCTTTTCCAGGGTGAGATCTGAAATCCTGAGCAATCTCTCTCTTGTCTTGGTGTAGCTGATGCCAAGTACAATTCTATCTTTGATAAGGGAGTTCTTCAATGTACTGAATTCACATGTTTCACGTCAGCTTTCTCAACACAATAACATATTGACCAATGGTTTCGGTACTTTCCTGGGCTCTTGAAAAAAACTTCTATCTCTCGTAACTGACATTTTTCCTCGGTTCACACTATTCCTCGAGTTTCTTTAATACTTTATCGATTTTTTTTTTGTCATCATCTTCTGCATCCCATGTCAGAGGGTTAAAAACATCGATAGCATCTTTGCTAATGACTGTTAGCAGCGTAACTACTCTGGTTGAACTTTCCTTCGTGTTTACGCCAGTTGCAATTTCGTAATTTGTGTACTTTTGTTTGAAATTCTTCCAGTTTTCTGAGACGTTTCCGCCTCGTAGATCGAGTGGTTCCGGGGAAGGCAGGCCTAAATGGAACGTCAACGTCATTTCGGCGTTTCCTTGAGTTGTATTTCCGTTATTTAATTGAGGTGTACCTCCATTTTCTGCCAGTGTATTTCCGTTTTCTTCAGATGCGTTTTCCTCCTCTATAGGGTCTAGATTTCCTGCTCCAGTTGCCGTTTTTTGGGACATGTGCTTTTCCAAATCGCCGATGTGAATAGACGGACTTTGCGTTCTGTCTTCGTTCCAAAACTTCACTCTACTGGTGCAGAACTTACTTCTCGTGCTTCACTTCTGACACCATGTAATAATTTTTACCAACAACTAGGATGGTTAAGGATTCCAAACAGTTTAATCTCTAGTACGGAACTACACAACATGGCCGAAGCTGACACACTAATAATTATGTACGCATGCATACGGAAATATCGCTGATCGTTACAAGATAGGTGATCAATTAATGCGTCGTCCTAAATACATGTCTAATGGAGAAAAATACGACCAGGATCACTCTGTAAATATTTTCTTCCGTTAGACTGATACACTCAAACGCCTTCTATATGTACGGAGTACTTTAACTTATGATCCCAGCATGCATGCAAAATAATTGGAGCAAAAGCAAGCGTTTACACAATAAAAGTCAGTTTAATTCCCGCAAGATTGGTTGGAACACCTTCATGCATGGCTGCCATTCTTTTGGAATTTCAATATGGCCGCTGTGAAATCATGTCACAACGCTCTATACAATGACCACCATCTGCACATTTATGCATATATACCTCTGTACGTCTTTGTAGTAAAAGGGCTCGATCCTACTTCATTCGTCGCCACAAGCTGGAACTCATATTCCGCAGAACATTCTGTCAAGATCCTCCGACTACTGGCATTTTTTCCTGTAATATTCAATCTGGTCCACTCATTTTCACCTTGTCGTCTGTAGCTTATTGTATGAAATAGTACAGGGCAGTCACTTGATGATGGTTCCCGGGGCCATTGTAGAGAGACAGCACACTCATTTCCTTTTTCGCCCGATATAACGTCGAACACAGGCGTGTTAGGGACACCTGTAAAACACGACATAACTATAAGAAGACGAGAACATGTATTATCCTATAGCTAATAAAACATTCCAACCTATATGTTATAGCCAAATTCGTTGTATCGCTCTGCGCGTTTTGCAAACTTCGAAGGAATTTTGAGTTTTCCGGTTCCGTCAATCACCGCAGCGGACCTCTTAGGGAACACATGTTTACTTGTGATTAGTGCATTCCGATCCACTTTTTTTGTTTCTGTGTGTTAAGGTTCGGTCTTTGTGATCGCCCTCTTTCGGGCTATAATCGACTAGTTTTCTTCAAAGATTTCTCTGATCTTTCTTATTCTTGTCTCTTGCAAGAATAAAGCAATGTCTGCCTCATGCCCTCTACAAAAAGTTGACTCATCATCGCGATTTCCTTCGGTGTTCTTGAGCAGTCTACAGTCATTCTCAGTTTTGCTTTTGAGGACCAAGCTGAACGAGTGCGTTGCATCGTAATTTGCATTAACTCCGTCCCCACTCAAATGATTGACGGAATAGAAAACCCATTCGAGGTTTAATTGCAAACGCGGAGCGCGATACAACGAATTTGGCTGTAAAGCGCTTGGTTATCTTGTTGTTTTTGTTGTTGTTATCAACTTTTGTTATTAAATCATAATTTCAGGTTAAGGTATTTAATCTTATCAGTTAGTAATTCAAATTTTAATTTGTTTAGTTTAATTTTTGGCCTCATTTTATCCGTGGGATATCTGAAAACTATCCGTATGGCTGAGCATATTTACAACGTAAATAAAGTGTAAATGTGTATGTTGTAATTGTTGTTGTCGTCGTCAAAGCAACGGGAGATCCAGGTGGCTCTTTGCTACGATTTTCAAACAAATCCTTAAGCAAGTCGAAGCTTCCTTGCCTCCACTCTCGTAAGCTAATAGCTGTAGTTACGACCAGAACAGTTTGAACTATGATTAAAAGCTATGCAGTTGAACCCTAGCTAACTCGAACCTCGCACTAACTCCAACCAAAATCGATTTCCGTCATACATTGTACATTAGTTTTACTGTAATTTTACCTTCGGTAACTCGAACCCTCGATAACTCGAACCTCCCACTAACTCGAATTAATTTTTGTCTCCCCTCAGATCATTTCTTTAATTCTACCCTCGATACCTCGAACCATGTTTTGAGCGCTTAAAACGTGGAAAAGAAAAAGAGTGCACTGGCATCCGAAACATTGAGTTTTGAATTTCCCATTGACGTGTTGTAGGCATATAGTTTACAAGCGAAGGCTGACGTTGTTAGTCACAAATCTAACGTGAAATGGCTTTACTTCTCAAAACAGTAAACGCGTGGTCTGAGGGTCTGAATGGGGGGGGGGGGAAGGGTCCACTTGTCGGTTGTCGGTTAAAATTCAGTTACTTTGTCGGTAGTCGGTTAAACATTTTGATTTTTGTCGGTTGTCGGAAAATCTCAGTTAATAAGTAAAAACGCTGGTTAGTTATTAATATTTTTTTGTGTATTTCACCCAGTTTCTAGACTTTGATCCCTAAGGAAAGAAAAATGCATCATTTGATTGCACTTAAGCCCATTAACCCTTGTTTGTTTATGCAACATGATCGTTTATTTCACCATTGTTTGCCAAATGAATATCATGAGTACTGATAAAATTACCAAACCTTTGATTGTAAATGCGAACTTGGTTTCCCTGTCGACTACAGGGCAAAGTAAAAAGTAATTAATTAATCAATGGACTCCAGCTTTTTGGGTACTTAAATTGTTTTTAGTGAAAAACTGCAAGGGGTGACAGGCTGCACATCTATACCTTTAATGTTTTGGCTCTAACAAGCATGTCCTTTGCCATAATTTTTCTTTCTCAAAGAAATAACACTTTAACCCTCGGACGTACGAGGAGTGGGGAGGGGGGAGGGTGTGGATGCCATCCCCTTCTGGGATTTTTCCACGAGGATAAAACATCAGCACCTGACGTTTTCAGAAGATATTCGTTTATCCCTTGCACGCATTTTGAGACAAGTTCAGTGATGATCAGTTTCTATGGTTACCAGGTATGACGTAACAAGTAGCAGGTGGTCAAGCCAGTTTGAGTGAATTCAACTTTTTTCAAAAATAAAAGTAAATCTTGTGCCAAAAATCATGCAAAGTGTTATTTATGTGTTATTATTCACGTCAAGCAATTACCATTTCTCGCTGTTTTAACCTGATTTCTAATTCTTGGTAAAATCCAAGATGGCGACCATTGTTGGTCACGTCATAGGCCTCCAGCAGCGCCACCATTCATAAAATATACCTCATCTTGTTAAGAAGATCAAAGGCTTTCCAGTGAAGGCAAAAAGGCTTCGAAATACTGCAACATATCAAAAACTCTGGGGAGGGGTTCCATCTACTCTCCTCTTGGCGGGGGGGATGACTTTACGTGTCCGTCCGAGGGTTAAGTGGCAAGGTAGTTGTAGGTTTTGTATGAGATTACACTTTTTCATTAAAGCTTCTTTTATAATACACACTGAGGGCTTGTATTGCGTCACGAAAGGCGATATTTCTTTTTCTTCCTTGTTGTTTTGTTTCAGGAGCGTTGCTTTCCTTCTGTGAATTTTACTTCTAATAGCAATTTTTCTTTCAAAATTGTGTGGCCACCCTCTGTCCATCAACCGCTTTTTGAAATCTGAAATACTTCCTCAGAGGAGTTTTTTCGTAGGGTTCTCAAGGCTTCTTGTTTGTCAAATCCATTTTTTTCCAATTGGTGAGTGATAACAGGCGAAAATGTATATGCTGGAAGGTTTTCCGTTTAAAATGCGTTTTTACATCAATGATAGCTTTTTCTCATTTTTCGTTGAATGTTGTGCCTTGGCATACAACCGGGTCTAAAAAGATTGTCTCAGTGTCAGATATTTCGGCCGTAAATTTCATAGCCTGTATAGCGGTAGGGTGAAGTACGTTTACTTGTTCCATGAATTTGAAGAAATCTACCATGTTTACTTATATCCCATAGGGAAAAATATCATGTAGCGTTTTCAAACAGTTGGTTAAAAATTTAAAGACGGTTTTGCTTAAAATTTGTGTTTCAATATATGCGGCCATGAAAATGTTGGAAAGGAAACTGCTGTGTGTGCTCATCGNATCTACCATGTTTACTTATATCCCATAGGGAAAAATATCATGTAGCGTTTTCAAACAGTTGGTTAAAAATTTAAAGACGGTTTTGCTTAAAATTTGTGTTTCAATATATGCGGCCATGAAAATGTTGGAAAGGAAACTGCTGTGTGTGCTCATCGGGGTACCGTGGTTTTTTTTTTTTTTACTGATAGTGCTTTCCATTAAACTAGAGCGAATTTTCTTTGATGATTAATCTAAACATTCCTCGTACCGAAACAAGAAACGTTCAGTTTCTTCACCTTTGTCTTTTCAATAAAATTTAAAAAGTCGGTAGCATCTTTAAGGTGTGTCTTCTGTACATGTGATTATGATATTAGTTGTAGTAATGTACCCGTATCAACAAAAGAGGAAGTTCTTTCTGTTAGACCATCTGAGGAGTCGTAAATTTAAAGAAGTTACTTCCTGTTACGGCTAGAAAAAAATGCAAAATTCTCTTTTTTCTGAAAACAAATATTGATAATGTCAGCCCATGTCGGTAGTCGGTTAATATTTTTCCTGTCGGTAGTCGGTAATTTTTTACTTGTTTTGTCGGTAGTCAGTACTATTTTTCGCCCTTTGTCGCTAGTCGGTTAACCCCATTCAGACCCTCGTGGTCTATTTAGGCCCATGTTTAGGCTACGTTTTGTCACGTTTAAGGTCTGATTTATAATCTAGAAGTATCTTTCAATTTTCACCTACCATTTCTACAAATAAATGTGATTAAAATTTTCACTGTATAGTAAAAAAAAACTAGTTTTTCCCTTACTTCCGGCTATTTACTTCGAGCTCCCGATAACTTGAACTTTTTTGGATTTCCCTTAAAGGTTCGAGTTATCGGGAGTCTACTCTAGAACGAAAAGCTCTTTAAGCGACCGCCTCTGGTCTTTTTCTTTGATGTTAAGCTCTCATATGCGACTACTCATTCAACACTTAAATAAAAGCATGTGATCAAACTTAGGGTAATACATAACATAATCCGGCTTTAATATCCCATTACATTTGAAAAAAAGAATGTATGGCCAATTAATAAGAATGTATGGGTAATTAATAACATATACCAACCTTTCTGTTCAACGTTCTCGTAAGCAGCCGTCCCTATAGGCTTATCACATGGTTGCTTTGATAAGAGATTCTAATTTGATTTTAGTTAACGAATCCAGCCCTAGGGGTGCGAGGACTTTACGAATTACAAAGGCGGTCGCTTACGAGTGTTTCGTCTGTAATTGAGATGGGCAAAACAACCTCACAACGCACGGGATTAATTTAAACTTAGAGAGACAATCATAGGATCGGGATTCGGTTGGACGAATTGAGTCACACTTGACAAATTTTCGTCATAAATCACCTGCTTGGGGAATCGTAGATACATTAGAAGGCCAACCATTTCCCATTTTGTTCTGCGCCATTACTCTTACATGGTACTTGCTGTTTGGCTTAAGATGGGTAAATAGACATGACTGAGTTGACTGAGAAACGTTTATTGTTGTCCATGGTCCTTCGGAACTGGCCGCTTTTATCTGTGCACGGTACCCTGTCACTATTTCTCCATCGGCGTCACGTGATGGTGGATTCCAAGTTAAGTTCATAGAGCTACAGCCTCGTTTAAAATCCAAACGCGTAACGGGATATGGAACATCTATCAAAAGTGACAGTATTTTTAATAAACTAAATAAATAAAACCTTGCATGAAAAGAGCAGAGATCATTTAGATTAGCAAAGACTTTTAAGAAATACAACTGCGCTCCAAGCTGAGAGAACTGTATGGTATAATTTTAAGGTTTAAACGGTGAAAGAAATTTTGAGAGTATTAAAATCTTTAACCAATCCGATTGAGGTCTCCTGTTAACAGTTTTACCAACCTTAGTTTTTGGCTTCTCAAAAGTCTTAATAAGGCTATGGTGCTTTAATTGCCCCACCCCCAGAAAGCTTTTTTCCTGTTATCATCATAATTCACTTTTAACAAGAAAGTTTTGCTTATTAGATATTAATGCCTTACTTGCTTACTTGGACCCATGCTATTTGTTTTATGACATAGAGTAAGATCTTTTTAGTGTTATTGGCCGATATGAGTTTGAAGTGAATCGTCTTTTAAGGAAGATCGCAATCTTTTTGTCAAAGGAATAATTTTCTTCCCAAAATACTCTAATAAGTTAAAAATCCGTAAATCCATATGGGATAAGAATTTGATTGCATGTCAGAAAAATAACGTATTCCAAAATACATAATTATATAAATTTCGAAGCAGGTAAGCTCGTCGATCTTTGAAACCATGGCGGCCGCACACGCTCAAACACACAAGTCCAAGAAGCAACACAATATGGCTCTCTATATTTATTTAATTATTTAACCAAAGAAAGTATGTTTACATTGTGCTGTTCTCACTTCCCATGGTGTGCTTGCTTTACTGCTTCCCAGGTAATTCCAAGCAAAGACAGTTACTTCATACTTCTTGCTGTGTTGGAATTCAAGCACTAAACTTGTAAAACTGGCGTTGGTGGTATTTATTGTTTCCGTTATTTTCTCGGTGGCTGGTTGAACTACTTTGTAGCGCAATGAATACATGGTGATATTGCAGTATCTCTCGTTCGGGCGTGTCCACTGCAGTGTTACAATGGGTTTCATCCCAGGGATTTCTGTTTCATTGTTTATTATTTCGGAAACACCGGGCGGTCCTATAATAAACTAATTAATTAATTATCTCCATAAAACAAAACGATGTTTATCAGCGAAGAAAAATCAATTAATTGGTGTTAAAGGTAAAGCAGAGGTGTAACCATATAAATGAAAACGCTCAAAGGTTAACATTGCACAATTAGAAAATGAATGCTAATATTGTGAAAAGAAAGGAGGACGAATGAGGAAATAATAACGACAATCAATTAATCAATTGAGGATGCCTACTTCACCCTAAAGTACTTTACAGAAGGGTCCTCCTACTAAAAATCATTAAGTGAATAAGACAAATCTATAACTAAATTAGAACTTACTATGAACTAACTATCAATTAATCAAATCACCCTAAAGTGCTTTACAGAAGGGTCTTTCTACTAAAAAACTTTAAGTGAGTAAGACAAATCTATGACTAAATTAAAACTTACTATGAATTAACTATCAATTAATCGAATGATTACATTACGGATTGCCTTTTTAAATTTTTCAAGTGACTTGAACTTCCTCAATGACTTGTCTAGATTATTCCATTCGTTTGAAGAAAAATTTGTTGAAGTCCAAAGAACCCAATTTCTATTTGAAAAAGCCTTTCGTACGTTATCCTTAGGCCTGGTATTGTAATCATGATGTTCTCTATTTAAGACAACATTAAAAGAATGTGTAAATATGTTACTCTGGCACTTAAACATAAAGTTGCTCATAAAACACGTCTTCTTGAGAGCAATTTCTACCCACGTTTATCTCAAGCCTAAGTGGCTAGATGTACGAGGGGGTAAATCTAAAATTATACGCGCTTTTTGTTATTCCATTAAAGCCACGTTACCCCTATCTCCCCAAATAATATTAGTCGAATATAGGTAGGATGTAACTGTTAAAAAACATAAGCCTATCCTCCAGTGGTAAACATAATTTTTTACGTCTAAGAAGTTCCAATTTCTTATTTGTCTTATTACTGATATAATCAATATGATCTTGCCAACTTATTAGATGGTTATTGATATCCACACCCAAGTACGAAAAGGACCTAACTTCTTCAATACTGAGGCCTTATCATCAGTGGTAATTGAGATTGAATTCAATTTTTTCAAGCGCTGGCTGCTACCTATGTTAAAAAACTTGTTTTTATTAATATTCAGGGTAAGCTGATTAGATATGAACCACTTACTAACTTTATCTAGGTAGGTTAGGAAGGAATGACTGCATGAATTGATAAACATACAGATAAATCTTGAAGGGAGATGTAAAAGAAGCTATAATAAGTATATAAGTACCACAAACTAAAACTATGTGTAATACAACAGTATTAAGATAGTTATAATACTTACGAATTAAATCCGTTGTTTCTGAAGTGTCTGCCCATTGGCCTGGCCCCTTCTTATTGAAAGCTCGGACTCGAATGCGATACTCTGTCTCACTTTTGAGGTCTGTGAACAAACAGCTATGATTTGAAACGAAGGCCGTGCAGTTACGCCAGCCACCACTTCTATCTCTTGGCGTACTTATCTGGACCTGATAGCCAGTTAGAGGACCGCCACCAGAGTCTAGGGATGGTGGATTCCAAGTGACTTCAAATACTCCACACTGTCTTTGTTTGACTCCAGGCGGTTCCTGCTGAAGTGGAACGCCTATAATAAAATTAGTGTGTGATATTTAGGCTGCCGATAAGGACAAAGCACAACATTTCGAGTGCGAAATCTCACTTACAACCAATTCAGGAGGTCTACAAAATTGAGTTTCTAAGTCAATCTTAACCTGCGATCAGGCGGTCCTTTTTCCCTTTTGTTTGGGAGACGAGGGGAAAAGGAAGCCTGATAAATTACTTTACGCGTCGTCTGCTCGTAGTCCAGATTCTGGACTTTTGTCTGATAGGTTGACAAACAAAAGATCCTTCGCAGCCCTGCATCATTTGGTTACAAGCAACATATTTGACTTCAGGTGCAATTAGATAGGTTTTGTCACCTTCGCATCTTCACGACAGAACTGACCCCAAAATGATCGCTTAAGGCTAAAAGCTAGGTCTCAAAAAAAGATAAATAAATACTTTTTTAGGAAATCAAGTCAATAATGCAGAGAGAAAAACCTTGACAGCCCATGAGGACGAGTTGTTATTTGTCAACGGTAAGGATATCCGCTATTTCTTCTTCGACGGGGAGGGGGTTACTTCCTAGAAGTAATTGGTTAATGGGAATGTGCCGCTGGATGGGGTCGCATTTTCACGGCTAAATTTAGTATAATGGGGTTACATTTTCATTGGTTGAAAATCGCTTGAGTTTCCACTAAAATCTGACACGACAACACAAATGTTGACAGATGCCTTAATTAGGGGGCGGCAGGCGACTCGTGGAGTAAATGGTTGTCTTTACACTAGGCTGTTAAGTAAGACTGAAGAGCTGCTAAGTTTTACTTAACCAAAAATGCGTGTGTGAAGGCCCAAGTAAAATCTCAAATAACTTAACTTTGCATCTTGTTAAAGTAGGAAAGATGAAAAGATTCAAGAAAGTTTAAGTGACTTGAAAACCATCCTTAAGACCGACTTACCTTAGAGAAAGGCGAAACACGTCAATCAATCTTAGTTATGTTGCGTGGGAAAATAGCCTTAAGTTAACCTCAAGTAAAAAAGAATCGATCTTGTGTGAAGCTTTATCATACTTGGAGTAATTAAAATTTACTTGCCTTGAAATATTTCTTAGCTTATTTAGGCTCTAGTGTAAAGACTACCAATGTATCAGGCGTTCTTTTTTCGCCTTTCCCAGAAAAAAAAAAAAAAAAGAAAGAAACGCCTGATCGCAGGTCAAGCCAATCTTAACCTGTCAGGTGTCGCCAACTTGGGAAATATTAAGTGTAAACTGACCTCAGTGTACCTTATTACATGAAATTTTCCCGACACCAAAAAAATCGCGAAATTAAAGTGACGCGAACAATAAGTGTCGCGAACATAACATGACGCGAAAATTAAGTGAATTTAGTGACACATATCAATAATCAAGAAAGAACGAGTTTATTACCTCTGAAACGTTTACAAAATCACATTTTTTTACTGTTCATTTTTCCTCCGGGCAAAGTGTGTAGCAAGGAATTTTTAGTGTAAATAGATGTTGTGGTCAATTGACTCAAGAACAATAGTTTACGTACAAGCATGAACTGCTTGTGGACATTGTGAGAACTGCTTTGTTGTTTAATACTGTTGACATTTAGTCCCGCTGTTGCATTTTCTTAATTTTGACGTTATTGCTCCTTTGATAAAGTCGATTTATTTTATTCAAGAACATGTTAAAAAACATTGCCAATGAAATGTGAATTGAGGTGCTCCAAAACGCGCGAAATTAACGCGATTCAAAATATAAAATTTTCGCAAAATCGCGAAATAAACATGTCGCGAAAATTTCATGTAATAAGGTACACTGAAACTAAATAGCCCGGCCCAGGTAAGTTAAGGAAATACTCTAAACTCTGAGCCTGACTTTCAGACATTACTTCGAGTCGTTTTTACTCCCTCAGTGACGTCTGAATCGACCGACCGTTAATGCCGTCCAGTTATGTCACTACCCTTTGCCTTAATTCATGCAAAAAGTAAAACACGATTTTCAACTGGGAAACAAAGAAAAGTCAAAGAAATACCGTCAGGTAAAGGCGAACATAGTACAGAGTTGCTTTACTATTAAATCGTAATTCACGTTGAACGTTCAAACTATCAACTGCATGCAGTACTCTGAACGAATCTAGATCTGTTGCAAGTTAGTAATCTAACACGATCGCGGTCAGGCGATGAAATAAATATACACACGGGACACTTCAAAGCACAACAATTTGCTTAGAAGGAAACAAGCTATTTGTTGTTCCTTAATGAAAATGAAAGAAAAACAGAAAAAACGAAAGAAAAGCTAACAGAATCGTTACACTTGACGGTGGAATTGACAGGAAGTTCAAATTATAAATCTCATAAAAGCTTCGCACAAACAAATTCACTGCCGAAACCATAAAGCGGCTCTAAATAAAAAACCTACCGACTCTCCGCATTGATTTTTCATGCGTAGTTAAATAGTTTCAAAGACAAAGACAAATTTTCCTGTTTACGATAAAGATTATCGAAATTTTTGAACTCCACGCAAGCGATCCGCTAAATGTCAAACGACAGTCCCGCTAAAATTTCTCATAATTATGAATAATTATGCAAATGTTTGGACAATCAACCAATCAAAATCACTACCTGGTTTCGGGTGGTGACGTCACTGGATGGCCTTAAAGCTGGTCGATTCAGACGTTACTGAGGGAGTAAGCGACTCGAAGTAATGTCTGAAATTCAGGCTTCTAAACCCTAACAAAAGTGCATAATGGAGAGCCGGTACAAGAAATGTGAGAAACGTCGGTTGATTCTCAGCGGTCAAAATCTCCATAAACCACCTCGGTTTGTGAAACACATAACGACCCTAATACCCTCTTCTGTTGTCACGGCCAGCACTTTGGCATCTTTTATGCTGCTTCCACGGTCATTCCATGCTAGAACCATAATTTTGTAGGTGCTACTGCAGTTCAGCCTAAGACGATATTTGGTTAAGTTTCGCTCTATGAAGGTTGTTTGCCACATTATCAGCTGATTAGATTGCCTGTAGTGAACGGTGTATCGAGTTATCGGGCAAGAATTATATGACGGGATCTTCCATGAAAGAGCTGCATAACAACCTTGAGGTTCGGCTGACACTTCGAATGATGTAGGTACACCTAAAAAGAAAAATATTCAAGATAGTGGTACACCTCTCGGGGAGTAACTACAGTAAAACCCCGGTAACTCGAACTCTGAAAGGAAACGAAAAACAGTTCGAGTTAGTGGGGAATCCGAGTTATAGGGGTAAATTTCAGTGAAATTCTGATCAAGGGAAAGGAAATTTAGTTCGAGTGAGCGGAGAATTCGAGTTATCCGAGTTCGGGTTTTCGAGGTCCTGCCTCGAAAATTAGTTAATGCGGACAGATAAGAGATACTTATATAAGCAATAAAATCAACACCGCTTTTGTGACTTACAGGTAAGAAAGATTGATCTTCACCAAACAGTGATGAAAAAAAAATTAAAGAAATTACTAATATCAACACTAACAGGGGGATATCCCAATACAACCGACAGTTTAATTCGGTCTATGCAATCTGGCAGCTTACCATAAATGAGCTGTTGGAAGGAACGTCCGACACAAGTTATATCCTTTATAACATGATGATTATATATAGTATGTTGCCCAGTATCCGGCCGGTACCAATATCCGGCCACCTAAAACAAAAATTCAATTGCAGTTTTCGGTAAACGAAGTATTTCGAACGGGAACTGAATATTTCAGCTTTAAAATGCAAGTTTTGGCGTGTTTGCAGCTTGAGAGACAGTTGCAGAAGGCGCTGTTCTGTTCAGTGAGTAAACTGTTCATGGCTAATATTAACGCTGTTTACTGCGCAGTAAAACTAGTGCTGTTCAAATAAGGTTGGTAATATGTGATATTTTCAAAAACTGTTTTATATTTGAAGTGAAGATACTAAAAGAAGTAAGGTTGTCATCAATTCTTCTTGAAATTCAATTTATATATTTTTTGGAATAACGGAGGTCAGAAACATTCACTAAGTATTAATGTCAGGTGCCCAGTATCCGACCAGTTTTATCTTTGCTGCGCTGAATCGATGAATTAACTGCGAACATCATCTAGACAAGATTTATTTCATATCTATAACTATAGTTAAAGCTTAGGATATATAATATAATCTGTTCAATATAATTCTACTCAACTCCTTATGAAAATGTTCTTTACTCATTCAGGGGCGAACTGATTTTGCCTGCACGGCTTGTTTCGCGTGACTGCATCACCTATTTTTACAGCGGTTACCTCTAACACGCGCCCTCCAAGGGTTTTTTTCCAGGCGGTGTGCGTCACGAGATTCGACCAATCAGAATGCGTTGTTTGTAGAGTGATTTTCGCGCTTACGACGAGCCGTTTTCAGAGGTGTATATGGTGAAATTTTCGCTTTATTCCAAGCTTTTGTGTGTAATTTCTACACTGTACTGCCGTGGAAAGTTGTCGGAACACTTAATCTTGATAGTAGTTACGTTACCTTTAAATATTTTGCTTTCTTGAGCATTTGTGAATAGTTTGAATTGCTCGGTCATGACTGCAAGCCGCCATGATGATTTCAGTGTTGTTTTTGCCGTTCTTCTTGGATTCATTGCTGGTTACTGTTAGCGGTTTTATCGGATTATTTTGGTCATCTTGTTACTTTAACCTTTCTTCTTTGCAAATCTCGGGGTCTACCCAGGTCTACCCCTGTTAGTTTTCCCGTTATGAGCCGTTGAAAGTGTCTTGGAATTAACAGATCGTCTCAGCCAAGACAGTACTAGCACAACTCCCGGGAAACGGGCTGAAACTGACATGCCGAAGCGGAAGCCGACGTGAAGGGAGTAACGCCAAATCCGAGAAGAGTTTGTTCCATTTTAAACCAGAAAAGGTAAATAAGTTTGAATATTGTAATTACCTTCGGAAAAAAAAAACAATTTTCGTAACCCAATGCGAAAACTGAAAGCGTGAGTTTAAAATAATTTGCATGCAGTGTGTGCTATGTGTATGCGAATCTTTATGTCAACTTACGTGAAGGAATAAATTGTAAGAAATCTCTACCAAAACACAAAACCATTATCGAAGATCTAGACAACATCATACAAGATTTTAAAACTAAGGTTAGGTACATAACAAAATCGATACCCTACGCTCACTTCAATGAACGCACAGATTTACGTTACCTTTAAATATTTTGCTTTCTTGAGCATTTGTGAATAGTTTGAATTGCTCGGTCATGACTGCAAGCCGCCATGATGATTTCAGTGTTGTTTTTGCCGTTCTTCTTGGATTTTTTTCTGGTTACTGTTAACGGTTTTATCGGATTATTTTGGTCATCTTGTTACTTTAACCTTTCTTCTTTGCAAATCTTGGGGTCTACCCAGGTCTACCCCTGTTAGTTTTCCCGTTTTGAGCCGTTGAAAGTGTCTTGGAATTAACAGATCGTCTCAGCCAAGACAGTACTAGCTGACAACTCCCGGGAAACGGGCTGAAACTGACTTGCCGAAGCGGAAGCCGACGTGAAGGGTGTAACGCCAAATCCAAGAAGAGTTTGTTCCATTTTAAACCAGAAAAGGTAAATAAGTTTGAATATTGTAATTACCTTCGGAAAAAAAAGAACAATTTTCGTAACCCAATGCGAAAACTGAAAGCGTGAGTTTAAAATAATTTGCATGCAGTGTGTGCTATGTGTATACGAATCTTTATGTCAACTTACGTGAAGGAATAAATTGTAAGAAATCTCTATACCAAAACACAAAACCATTATCGAAGATCTAGACAACATCATACAAGATTTTAAAACTAAGGTTAGGTACATAACAAAATCGATACCCTACGCTCACTTCAATGAACGCACAGAAAAGATCCAGAAGATGGTGGTTTATTTCTGCGGCTGTAGCTTCAGTGAAATTCCCATTATGCTGTAGCTGTTCGGCTCTTTCGGTCTGCTTCCCCTTGCCTGATAGAAGATTTATTTGCGCATAGGATCACAAACGGGCACTGTTTGCAAAATGATATGACATTTCGATGAAAATAAAATTGTTATGAAAGGCGATTTCTCACCTTGCTCTTTGCTCGCGCTCCCCCTCCTTGCCCGGTAATAAAGTCCATCAAATACATAAACACTACTAATGGAGGAATTCTTTTTAGTTAAGCAAATCCAGGTGTGAACTACAGATCTCTTACACTCTGAGATAAAAATATACATATAAACCAAACAGTACATAAGATCTTCTGAAAAGCAAGGAATCGCCGCTTAGAATCGGCTAGACTTGTGGCACCTTCGATCGTCTCCGAATCGCGATAAACCTATTGAAATTGCCTTATGAAGCCAATAGCAAGCATCTAAGGCCACCATGAGATCCTGAAAATTCTCCAAATCGCTCTGTTCCGTAACTTTTTTCAGAAAAGGAAGCAGTGTTTTGATCCCTAAGTTTGATTCATCTCTCTCACGAGATGCGAACTCGACCGTGTCACGATTGAAATGTGGCGCAGCAACAGTTTTACCCATGAACCTTTGTGGGTCGTGACGCACAACGCCTTGTTTTTTTCTCTCTGTTAAAACCTGAGTTTTCGTGGACGTCTATCAACTGTTTCCATGGTTTTCTCAATCGCTCTGACAGAGAAGGTTTCCTCGTCGCTGAATGAAGGGAGAAGAAATTTCGTATGACGACAGCGTTTTTAAGTATTTCATCAAGATGAAGGATTAGTATAGGTAATAACATGAATTGTAGTGATATTGTCTGAGAAATTTATGCAATTTTATTGGCTTAGAGCAGTGGTATTTCAGCTTACATGTGGAAATTACAAACTGTTTGCGGGTGATAGTATAGGCAAATATTAATAGAATGATTTGTACGTGATATTTGGCATAAATACCACCAGTGATATTTCGAAATTGTTATAAGTAATTTCACGAGCCGTTAGGCGAGTGAAATTTGAGACAATTTTGAAATATCACGAGTGGTATTTATGCCAAATATCACGTACAAATCATTCTATTAATATTTGCCTATACTATAACCCGCAAACAGTTTGTAATTTCCACATGTAAGCTGAAATACCACTGCTCTAAGCCAATAAAATTGGATAAATTTCTCAGGTAAGTATAACGCTGTTAAAACAACGAGGTCTCTGCGAGCTGCGTGAAATAGACGAAACACTCTCTATAGTTTACGTAAAGGTTTTCAGGTTGTCTATTTATTTGAGTGTATGAAAACACGGGAGCCGTGCACGATTTGCCAAGGAGTATAGAAATTCAATTAACACACCGACAAGGGAAAAAAGTTTCCTCTGAATGGAGGCTGTTTTCGAAAATGAATTTCTACTTATCATTCTTTATGTTATCGAATAGAATCCAGAACTACTTGCTGTACCAAGAAGAACTCACACGATTTGCGAGCGTGTATTGAGAAAGCTTATGTTGTTGTAACTTATAGTGGGTAAATAAGTCGATAATTTGGATTTTCCTCCGACAAACACTCAACAAATTCGTACTCCTCGTAATCTTGACATGAAGCGGTGTCAGATCCTGTAGCAAAATATTGCAAAAACGGCTTAAACGCCGGTATGTTCCTCCGAGTGCTCGAGAAACGGGAAAGAATCTTCATGAATCTTCTCTTGGCCAACGCGTTAAAACCATGGTAACGGTTGATTGACGTCCACCAAACCGCAGGATTGAACCGAAGAAAAAATCTCTGAGGGCGCGTGTAAGGGGTAACCGCTGTAACCAGAAACGTCAGAGTTGAACCGGCAATTCTCATACAAATGTTCCCGTTGTGACTGCTAGAATGGAGTTGCAACGGTCTAAAAAGTTTCTCAAGGGGATTCAGAGATGTGAAAGAAGGAGGAATAAGTGCTAGAAAAGTAGCCCAAATGTGGAAATGTGGGGACTGAGCATGAAGAAATTAACCCCTTGACGGTACGTCAGACAAAATGGGAGAGTGACCTTTGACCGTCGGAGGGGCTCTTCTCCAATTTTTTTTTTTTTTTAAACAAAAAATGAAAAACAAAAACAAAAAAAACCGGTTGGCAGATTGGCTAATTGAGCTTGCGAACAGGGGCTTGAGCTTGTCCTCGGATGGGTTCTTCAAATCAGTGAAAAATTTCCTGAGCAAGGAAGTAGGGATCTATACCGTTTTAACACAGCAAGCCAGGAAAGTGGTTTCGGAGTTTCATCATTTTTTTTATTCCTTCCCCTTTTATCAAATTATCTAGCTCCCAACATACAATTTTTTCCGATTAAAATTTATTGCGTTTCATTAAACAAACGGGCATTTTCCGTAAGAGTTCCCTACAATAGCCACACCGTGATCAATCTGCTGGAGGCGGTGTGGTTGTAACTGGATTATGTTCCTATCAAATTCAGATCAAGAGTGACCATCAAAGCGGCCTGGAACAAGTGAGCGTCGCAGTGTGAAGAAATGTGGAGAAAAATACTTACACTGTACTACAAATTCACATTTCAAAGTATTGTATAGGAAAAAATAAACAGAATTTTTACTTTTTTGTTTGTTTCTTTTTTCGTTTTTTTTTTTTTTCTTTCCATATCTCTAACCTTGATCAGCCGCCCGCGTTGGTTGTTCTCCCCACCATACCGAGTCATTTGTTATGTTTTGTTTCACTATTCTGGCTTCCCCGATCGATTTATATTTTTGGAATCGAATACCACTACTTTGCAAGAGCAAGAGGAGTTTATAAGTCGCTTGCCTGTCGAAATTTATGTATAATTAAGTTGTTATTGTTGTGGCCGGATACTGGGCAACATAGGAGCTCTGCAAAAATATTAATTTCGCCATGGAAACGACGGCAAAAAAATTTAACTGTCTTTCATCATATTAAGGACTAAATAGATTTTCTCTGGGCCAAATTTCAGAGCTCTTGCGACTAAGAATATAGCAAAGTTATTGCAATGTTAAACTGAAGTGGCTGGATACTGCATGGGTATCATTCTGTACCGGAAGATTTGATGTTGAGCATTTTGTAACTTAAGACGAAAATAGCCTTTTGTGGTTATGATAATGACAGTTAGTAACTTTAAAAGTCGAATTATTATTCATTCAAAATATTCTTCCCTTTTCTATTGGAACAAACATCACGGCCAATCAGATAGCCTTGTCCAAATTTGGAAGACGTTTGCGAAATAAACAATAGTTCGCGGACATCTCTTTGTTATTCCGGCACGTAACAAAGGAAAATGACAACAATAATAAAGGGTGATGACCAGAAGAAGGGTCAGCAACCTGAGAAGCCCGGAGGACGAGATTTTGTTGTTATAGTAGAACAAAGTAGAGACAAAATGGCGCAACATTTCACACGTATCGCGAAGACGAAATAACCAAACATTTCATCTTTCAGTAAACTTGGTGTGTTTATTGTGAGACTTTCATTCGTTTAATTCTTTGTCGTTGTTTTTGTAGTTATTGCAAAAACTCCAAAGAGGAGCATTTGTAATCTATACGAATATCTGGATTGAGGGTCACGTTTACGAAATTGTACCACGTGACCAAGTTTCCACTTAACTTGTGCTTAACTGTTTCTTACTCCTACCCCATAATTAGCAGCTTCACGTTAGTTTTGTCTATAACAACTGTTTTGGACTGTTTTTACCTTTACGTTTTCTATTGTTGAGTATTTCCTTTTGCCGTAAACGTCATTCTAAATCGATCTAATAGTCAGCGACATATAAAATGCGAACTTGTGTAATTATGCTGTAATTGTTGCAAAACAAACACGATAAGTATGATAAACTGCGACTAAGAAAGCCACATAATAAGGTAACATATGACTTTTTTCTTACAATTTAATTAGTACCTGCTTTCGTTTCCAGTTGACGTTTTGTCCAAAAACTATGGCCCAACGAGTTTTTCGCTCTGATTTGTATTTCGTAAAGATTGCTACTTTGGACATCAAACTTCTTTGAATGATCTTTGTTTGACAGGTTAAACTTTTTTTCGTCGGATCCATCCTTTAGTGATGAAATGATGAGTTCATATCCAGTTACTCCACTTCCTTCTATCGGTTTCCACTCCACTTCTATCTTACGACCGCAGGCAAAGGTCTCATTTTTTACAATTTCGGGACGTGGTGGAACGTTGGAGCTTACTGAAAGTAAACCATTTTAAAGAAGCTCANTTAAACTTTTTTTCGTCGGATCCATCCTTTAGTGATGAAATGATGAGTTCATATCCAGTTACTCCACTTCCTTCTATCGGTTTCCACTCCACTTCTATCTTACGACCGCAGGCAAAGGTCTCATTTTTTACAATTTCGGGACGTGGTGGAACGTTGGAGCTTACTGAAAGTAAACCATTTTAAAGAAGCTCAATATCTGTTGAAGTGACTTCAAGCAGTTTTACTGAAACGACCGCATTGAGAGCAAACCATATTAGGGCCGTAAGGAGAATGGATCAGATGAGTCTGGGTGGAATGCGTTGGAAATTGAAGTGAAGGGAAACAGGTGATTTTTTTTAGCGGGGTAGCTGTGGTTTTGCATCGCGTTTTGCAACAGGCCTTTTACATCTCTGCCCTACCCGGAGTGAATTCATTAAACTCTCACCTGTGTAGTTTACCAAATGTGGCTGTTCCTTTAGATCAGTTCTAAAACAGCAGCTACACTTGTAGCATTTATCAAGATTGAACCCAAGCCCGGCTTTCCGCTGTAACCAAATTAGTCCAGGTGTTAGCGACCAAAAATACAGCAAATTGTTCACTTTTATGATAAAAGCATGAAACTTTATTTTGGAAATGGAGCCAATCCAAATTCACCACTTGACACCAATACTGCGCAGGCCCTAAAATGGCATACACGAAAGTGAGGCTGTCAGTGGAAATCCTTCTAAAATACCTGTATTCGTAATAGTGTGACGTGCCCTTCCTTCCAAATCTGGCGAAGCCATTGTTGGGTGCCCTGTGCTGGGGCTCTGTTAATGGCATTTGTGCGTTTTAAGGGGTGAGAATGGGCACCTTTTCACACGTTTAAATAATAACGCTCTTCCAACTATTTTCCAGTTATCTAAAGCTGTGTTTTTTTCCATACAAATGTAAATCACCACATGAAAATGGGGCAAAAATCTTTTCAACGGTTCGAAAAGCCTCCAGTTAGCCCTGTGTGCAGCCATCAGATTTTCACAGTATTCGGAATTCATAAATGTAAACAATTCGGTATGTTATAATGCCGCAAGTTAAGATTACAACGTCGTCATTAATAACGGAGCACCATGGCTAAGAAAATTTGGTTATCTATGTATCCAAGAAATGTTGGTTTTGAACAAAATCGTCCGTACGTACGTACGTCCACCCCTTCAAGTAAGCCGGGGTGAAATTCGCGTTTAAAGTACCCGCGGCATTTTGGCGGTAAATCCATGGCCACCAAGAAAGAAAAGACAACAGAAAAGCCGTGTCTATCTTTTTATTTGACTAAATCTTAATGTTAATGTTATTAGCTGAGACATGGTTAACAGAGAAAGTGCAAGAGCGAGATATAAACAAACAAAGAAAAAAAACAAAGGAGACGAATTTCGTACGTAGATTTAGCTAGGGCTAAAAGCGAAGCTCTCGTAAATTTATATTTTACTCAAACAAAATATTATGTCGTGTAATGCTAGGCGGCGACGACAACGAAAAGGGCCAACAAAATCAGTATGTCTACATATAATTAGCAAAAAAACAACTTTGAACGTGCAGCAAACTTTTTCTTTTTGCATATTTCTTTCCCGTTGTTTTGCACGACTAGAACGTGAAACTTCCAGAAACCTCATTGTTACACGTTTTATAGAGGAAATGTTATATGCGTTTCTGTTCACTTTTTTCACTGCCGCTCATTTGCACCTTGGTGGCCGCTAGCATTTCTCATTTTCTCACCGCCTTTATAAAATTTTCATTTTTTTATTCCAACAAAATTGGTCTCCTTTGTATTTTTTTTTTTATCTCTCGCTCTACCTCTTTATCTGTTATCCACGTCAATTTAGGGCCTGTTTACATGGAGGTGAGTGACTCCAGGTAGGTGAGGTAACGCGCTTAGTTGGAGTAACCCGCCTGTCCGTAAAATCTCTCATATGGTCACCCCACAAGGTGTATGTTGCTTTGGTCACATGAGTAACTGCAGAAGACCCTATCCCTTCGAAGCTCTATCCCTGAAAGAGCTGAATACGTGGATACGCAGTTATCCCTTTTATACGCTTTTCTTTTACCTTTAGTGGCTTTAAGAACGTCAAATAGACATACTGTGTGCTTTATAAGCTGTTTTAAGTGTATGACGAAGTGGATAGCGGGTACGCAGTAACTATTACTTAAAGGATTTTTACTAAGTGGATACGCAGATACGCGGATCGAAGTGACAAAGTGGAGACGCAGATACGTAGTGGCTGAGTATCTGCATATCAGCGTATCCACCTATTTTTAGGGGTTGCTTTAAAGTGACAGGATATTCTGCAGTTAAGCCTAGAAAGGAGTATTTCTATCGATTTGTGTTTTTAGTGGCCGTTTTAGGACTCTATAAGTGCTTTTTGCGATGAATTTCAAGAGAAAATGGAAGCGATTATTGCAAGGGAACATTAGCCTTAAGATATCAGCAAAACTCGAGGTAACAAAACACATGTTCACAATTCGCAGACGTCATACCGTATCGCGTTAGTTGGGCATCTGTTCTTTAAATGCGCTGAAATGCGTTTACGTTGGGTTTTTTTAAGTTTAAACACCAGCCATTTTGCTGAAAAATATCTTTGAATTCGTCTTTAACAGGACTCCATCAGCTTCATACGGAGCGTGCTGATGGAAGTTCTAGGGCAAAGGCTTTGAACAAAGTATTATCGCACAGTCCGTATAGCACGTAGTACAGTGGAACCTCAATTAAACGAAGTGCCAATTAAGAGACTGGGGAAATCTGTTCGTTATATCGAACACCTCGACTCAACGAATTGTACTACTGTGATTGCTGTGATGCTTAGTGTGTGTGTGTGTGTGTGTGTGTGTGTGTGTGTTTGTTTGTTTGTTGTTTTCAGCATGCTGGGAGTGTTTTCTGTTTTGTTTTGTTTTTTTTCATTTTTTTCAGGCTCCATTCAGCCTCGGATAAATTGAGGTTAGTGAATATGTAGCTCTAATTATCAAGGCATTATCCTTCTCATCAAAGCTTACAAGGCAAGTACAGTTTAGAACACGCAACATACCGTATTCATAGAATGGGACGTCCTCTGCGGCAATTTCCACTTCATTCTCAAAGAGCACACACTTGTATGTTCCAAGATCTTCCGTGGTTAAATTTTCAACGCGAAGATCAACCTCACCCATCGTTTGCTGACAAGAATTGGGACTTGAGAACGTGCTAAGTATTTTATACTTCCCATATACATCCATTATTTCTTTCTCGTTTATGAACATCCATTTCCACTTGTAAGAAGCCCTTTGTTGAAAGTTAAGCTGGTTTGCCTTGCAACTGAAATATGCACTGCCGTTTGGTCTCGTATTTCGTAGACGAAAGGCACTTAGTTTAGGTATTATTGGTGGACCTGTTGTGCAAAACAGATAAGCCAGGGATCTACACCTTAGTTGGAAGGCGAAAAAACAGACAAACAAACAAACAGGGCCCAGTGAATCGAACGCCGGTTAGCGCTAACCCGGGGTTAAATTTATTTTAACCTGGGTTTCTTTTTCTTTTCATCAAAAGCACTCTCTTGCGATAATTTTCTCTATGCTCTTTAGAGTATCCAATCATCAAATTGTAGGCAAAGAGAATGGAACTGAATTTGCTTTTTAAGCTCTCATGGCTGAGTTCAAATTTCGCACTAACCCCGGGGTTATCTTAACCCAACTTCGAACAACCCGGCCCGGGACGAAACAATAAATGATTTAAAGGTGAACTGGTCACCACGAAATGAAAATATACGACAGATGAAGTCTCCAGTGCTAGCCCTTAAGCAAAGGGATGAAACAGTGTGATTGCGCTCTAACGAAAGGCTGGCACTCATTTGCGCTCGTTTGCAAATCTTTTTACGGCGACCATTTCACTAATTTCAACTTGTTTCTCTTTCGGAAATTTAAGAGGTTCCGTAAAAAATAGTTTATAACGGACTACGGACCTGGGATTGGGTATGATCATCTGATCAACGGCACGTAAAGATCTGCTTAAGGCATAAATAAAAGGACAAACCAACCAACGCATTGTATAGTGACATTCTTGCACCCTGTACATTTAGTAATATTTAACTATAGTTAAATAGTGATAATAATATCGAATCATTCACCAGATAAGATTATGTCTCGGATTATGAACACACGTTTGTTTTGTTATCTTGAAGTTTAGCGTTGTATTTGTTAGCGTTTCGTAAGCTTTTCATTGTAGTCTAGCAGGCCTTGCTAGGGGCAAGCCAAACAGTTCGTCGATCACGACGACTAAGGTGTTCAGGAAACAACTGAAAGCTCTGGCCCATCATCAACAGATCCGTCCACTTCAGTTTTTTTGGAACCTATTGCGTATCCGTAACCTGTCGACGCAAATGGAGAACCTCCAAATGCAACATAATGGCTTAAAGAAACAGATTCAAGTACCATCAAATCAATCGCCCCAGCCAACACCGCCCACTTCGTTCGATAAGCCACGCGTAGCAAAAAAACTCCCCCCCCCCCCCACCAGATAAACTGAACCAGGCGTGAGGGTGAGTACATGGACTTTTCTGGCTTTTCTACCCTTAGCCTTTTTTTCGCAACTGTGGGGCAATGCGCATCGGCTAACATGCCCTCAGCTCAAGGATATGCAAGCCTTACTAACGAAATCTAAGCGCCCCGAAAGCGACATATTGATTCCTTTGACACGTGGCTGCAAGGGTGGTATGCTAACGAGAAACTCGGCATGGCTTCCCATCCCCACCGGTACCCTGAACTGGCCTCTTATCGCGATCCAACACAACTCGCTAATCGTAAATGGCCCCCTGTTTACCTGTTTGACATTCAAGCCAGGATGGTATATGCCATCAAGATTTTTGACCCCTTACCCTGAGTGCCAGAGACTTTTCTAGAGCGGTTTCCGGTTTTTGTCGTGGCTTCGGCCTACGGCCAAAGATGTGTCAGCGTTCGGTCAACACCGAAAATTCCCACCGCACGGCAGAAAAACCCCGGCCAATGCCATGTCCTTTGACCATATGGTGAAGGACTGTGGATTTCCCGCACCAGAACAGATAGAAGAAAAGAAGACCGGAAATGGAAAAAATTCCCCGTGGAAGTACCCAAACTTGTACGCCCCCTCCAGCCAAGAAGAATGCAACCTCTTTCAGAGAAATGCAAATGCGCCAATGTTTACAAGTCTTGCCAGGGGGGACCACTCCGCGGCCAATTGTTTACTATTTACCAGAAGTTCGCTGTCTGTTTCCAATTGACGTTTGGCGTGACCCTTTACGTACCTACCCGGACCGTAATTTTGTAAGAGAATTATTACACGACATTAATTTTGGCGTTCGTATTGGTTTTAATCATGATCGTACCCCTTGATTTCCTCAAATCACCGTTCCGCAACCGCTAAACCTGCGCTCGTCGCACAGGAACTGGAACACGAACTGTCCCTGAACAGAATTGCCGGGCCTTTCCTTGCACCTACGTTTTCGAATTCTGTTTGGTCTCCGATGGGTGCTATTCCAAAAAAGCACTCGCAGCCTCCCAAATGGCGTATCATTAACGATCTTTCGAGGCCCGCTGGCCAGTCTGTTAACGACGCATTCTCCAAGGAATTATATACTTGCTCCTACGACTCAATCGACAAGGCTATCTCTTACCTTAAATCGTTCGGTCCCAATGCTCTAATCAGCAAACTCGATCACGCCTTCCACCTTATACTTGTCGACCCTCGTGACTGGGAGATTTTGGGGTCCATTTAGCCCCTCGTTATGTCTGACGGTTCTACGCGTACTGGTTATTTCTTAGACATGTTACTTCCGTTTGGTCTCTGGAGTTCGCCGGCGCTATTTCTTAAATTTGTCAACGGTTTGTGATACACGATGGCGCTCCATGGAACCCCTTTGGAACTACCCCCCATGTTTTGGGGATGTGGCCCTCTTGCACCAAGCGCCGCTTGCTCTTCGAGTCTTAATGTTATGCTTCGTACCTGTGCTGACCTTGGATTTGCTACCAATCCCTTTTAAACAGTTTCTCCTACAACGAACCTTGTGCTTCTTGGCATCGAACTCGACACTGTCTCCCAGGAACTTCGCATTGATCCTACTCGCCTTGCCGAAATCATCGATCTCCCTGGTCCACTAAACATCATTGTACTAAACGCCAACTACAGTTGCCCTTATTGGCAAGCTTAACTTTATTTACATTGTGTGCCGCCCCCAGGAGAAAGTTCCTACGCCGCATGTTGGATGTCTTCTGCAGAGCTCACCATCCGGCCCATCACCTTCGATTGAATCACGTCTTCCACAAGGACCTCTTGTGGTGGAGAATTTTCCTCCCATTCTGGAATGGTCGTAACTTCTTCTATGACGGCAAATAGACAACTTCCTCACTCTTGGATCTTCACACAGACGCATGCCAGTCTGGCTGCGGTGCCTCTTGCGCAGGCGACTGGATCTACGCGTCCTTCGCGGACACGACGTCCCCCTTTCCCGTTCAATTACTTTCAAGGACCTCTTCGCCATTACCGCTGCGGTCAACACTTGAGCAGCATCCCTTGATTCTCGCAATATTCTGTTCCATTGCGATAACTTATCCATAGTACATATTTTGTCTAGTAGTTCTAGAAAATGCACGTACATTATTACCCTTCTCTGATTCCTGTTTTACATCTGCGCTCATCACAATATTGTGGCCATCCACATTGATGGCTTTGATAATCATTAGCCTGACGCTCTCTCTCGTTTTCAGATCGACAAGTTCCTGGCCGCCTGTCCCATGGCTTCCCGTTCTCCAACGCCTGCAAGACCTCTACCCTTGGCCAGCTTCAAGTGAACGCGCCTAACTACCTCGTAGGAGGACTCTCGGACTCCTCTCATTGTACGTACAACAGTGCTCAGCATCGATTTCTCCACTTTAGCCAGGATTTTTCCTTGGTCCTCTTGCCAGCATCCCAAGAAACCATTATCTTATTTGCTACTCATCTCGCCCAAAGGATCAAACCACAAACAATGAATGTTTATCGCGCTGCCGTGCGCTCTCTGCATATATCACACGATCTGTCTAATCCACTTCAACCTGGATTGCGATTAAAACAGACCTTGCGTGGTATCGAACGCAAACATTTTTCGGCACCGAAGTAAAAGATGCCGCTTACATTCGACATTCTCTCCGATATTCAGGCTTTTATCATCCCCACGTGTGACGATGACACGGTGCGATGGGCCGCCATCACCGCTGGTCATTTCCTTATGCTAAGCGCAGGCGAATTTACAGTTCTTTCTCGCGACCTTTTCGATCTGCCTATTCACCTCACCTGCTCTGACGCACGTTTGCATTCTTCTCTTCTGGAACGGAGTATCTCTCCC